TACCCCATTGGCACCCCCCACCCCACCCCCCTCCACCCCATCCCCGGCTTAGTTGTCCATGTCCATTGGTCATGCATACATGCATATAAATACTGTGGTTTATCTCTCCCCCCCGACCCCCCCATCCCCTCTTCTGAGGGATGTCAGTCTGTGCCCTACTTCCATGTGTCTGGGTCTACTGTATTCCTCAGACTGTTATGTTCATTATATTCCGTATGTAAGTGAGATCATGTGGTATTTGTCTTTTTCTGCTTGGCTTCTTTCACTTAGGATAATACTTTCCAGGTCCCTCCATGTCGTCTCAAAGGATAAGAGATCTTTCTTTCTTACCGCTGAGTAGTACTCCATTGTGTATATGTACCACGGCTTTTTTATCCATTCGTCTACTGGTGGACACTTGGGCTGTTTCCAGATCTTAGCTATTGTAAATAGTGCTGCTATGAACATGGGGGTACATATATTCTTCCTGATTGGTGTTTCAGGCTTCTTAGGGTATATTCCCAGCAGTAAGATCACTGGGTCATATGGAAGTTCAATTTTTGTTGTTGTTGTTGTTGTTCAGGTAGAGTGGGAGGGAGAGAGAGGAACAGAGAGAGAGAGAGAAAAACATCGACGTGAAAGGAACACATCGAGTGGCTGCCACCCGCACAACCGACCAGGGCCGGGGACAAACTGCAACCGAGGTACATGCCCTTAGCAGGAACCGAACCCAGGTCTCTCATGACCGCAGGCCAATGCTCTAACCGCTGAGCCAAACCGGCCAGGGCTGGAAGTTCAATTTTTAATTTTTTGAGGTAGCACCATATTGTTTTCCATAGCGGCTGCACCAGTCTGCATTCCCACCAGCAGTGTATTAGAGTCCCCTTTTCTCCACACCCTCGCCAACACTTGTTGTTTGATGATTTGTTGATGGCGGCCATTCTGACAGGTGTGAGGTGATACCTCATTGTTGTTTTAATTTGCATCTCTCTGATGATTAGTGATGTTGAGCATTTCTTCATATGTCTCTTGGCCATTTGTATGTCCTGTTTGGAGAGGTGTCTATTCAGCTCCTCTGCCCATTTTTTAATTGGGTTCTTTGTCTTCCTTTTGTGGAGTTGTATGAGCACTCTATATATATTGGAAATTAACCCCTTATCTGATACATCATTGGCAATGATGTTCTCCCATACAGTGGGTTGCCTTTCCATTTTGATGATTGTTTCTTTTGCTGTGCAGAAGCTTTTTAGTTTGATGTAGTCCCATGTGTTCATTTTCTCCTTTATTTCTGTTGCCTTAGGTGATGTATCAGTGAAAATTCTGCTCCGTATGATGTCCGAAAGTTTGTTGCCTACATTTTCTTCTAGAATTTTTATGGATTCACGGGTCACATTTAAGTCTTTTATCCATTTTGAGTTTATTTTTGTGTATGGTGTAAGTTGATGGCCTAGTTTCATTTTTTTTGCATGTAGCTGTCCAATTTTCCCAACACCATTTATTAAAGAGGCTGTCTTTACTCCACTGTATGCTCTTGCCACCTTTGTCAAATATTAATTGAGCGTATTGCCTTGGGTCCATTTCTGGGTTTTCAGTTCTGTTCCACTGGTCTATATGCCTGTTCTTGTGCCAGTACCAGGCTGTTTTGGTTACAGTCGCTTTGTAGTATAACCTGATATCTGGTATTGTGATCCCACCTACTTTGTTCTTCTTTTTCAAGATTGCTGTGGCTATTCGGGGTCTTTTTTGGTTCCATATGAACTTTTGAAGTATTTGTTCTAGTTCTATGAAATATGTCGTTGGTATTTTGATGGGGATTGCATTGAATCTATAGATTGCTTTGGGTAGTATGGACATTTTAATGATGTTAATTCTTCCAATCCATGAACAGGGTATGTGCTTCCACTTTTTTATATCTTCCTCTATTTCTTTTTTCAATGACCTGTAGTTTTCTGCAAATAGGTCCTTTACTTCTTTGGTTAAGTTTATTCCTAGGTATCGTAATTTTTTTGGAGGGATGGTAAATGGGATTGTTTTTTCAGTTTCTCTTTCTGTGAGTTCATCATTGATGTACAAGAATGCCGTCGATTTCTTGACGTTAATTTTGTATCCTGCTACTTTCCAAATTCATTTATTAAGTCTAATAGATTTTTGATGGAGTCTTTAGGGTTATCTATGTACAATATCATGTCATCTGCAAATAATGACAGTTTCACTTCCTCCTTTCCAATTTGGACCCCTTTTATTTTTTCTTCATGTCTGATTGCTGTGGCTAAGACTTCCAGTACAATGTTAAATAAGAGTGGCGAAAGTGGACATCCCTGTCTTGTTCCTGTTCTTAATGGAAATGTTTTTAGTTTCTGTCCATTGAGTATGATGTTGGCTGTAGGTCTTTCATATATGGTCTTTATTATGTCGAGATATGATCCCTCTATTCCTACATTGCTGAGCGTTTTTATCAGAAATGGATGCTGGATTTGGTCGAATGCTTTTTCAGCATCTATTGATATGATCATGTGGTTTTTATTCTTCATTTTGTTTATGTGGTGTATCACGTTTATTGATTTGCGAATATCGTACCAACCTTGCATCCCTGGAATGAATCCTACTTGGTCATGGTGAATAATTTTTTTGATGTATTTCTGGATCCGATTTGCTAATATTTTGTTCAGGATTTTGGTGTCTATGTTCATCAGGGATATTGGCCTGTAGTTTTCTTTATTCGTAGTGTCTTTTTCTGGTTTTGGAATTAGAATTATGCTGGCCTCATAGAACGTGTTTGGAAGTCTTCCTTTTTCTTGAATTTTTTGAAATAGTTTGAGAAGAATGGGTGTTAGTTCTTTTTTGAATGTTCGATAAAACTCCCCCGTGAAGCCATCTGGGCCTGGGCTTTTGTTTGCTGGGAGAGTCTTGATTACCTCTTCAATTTCCTTAGTTGTTATTGGTCTGTTCAAGTTTTCTATCTCTTCCGGGAGTAGTTTTGGGAGACTGTGTGTTTCTAGAAATTTGTCCATTTCGCTTAGATTGTCGAATTTGTTGCCATATAGTTGTTCATAGTAGTTGTTAATGATCTTTTGTATTTCCGTGGTGTTGGTTGTTACTTCTCCTCTTTCATTTCTGATTTTTTGTATTTGGGTTCTTTCTCTTTGTTTCTTGGTGAGTCTAGCTAAGGGTCCATCAATCTTGTTTATCTTTTCGAAAAACCAGCTCTTTGTTTCATTGATCCTTTGAATTGTTTTTTTGGTCTCTATGTCATTTATTTCTGCTCTGATCTTTACTATTTCCTTCCTTCTACTTGCTCTGGGGCTTTCTTTTTGTTTGCTTTCTAATTCTTTAAGTTGTGAGGTTAGACAGTCAGTTAGAAATTTTTCTTGTTTTTTGAGGTAGGCCTGTAGTGCTATGAACTTCCCTCTCAGAACTGCTTTCGCGGGATGCACCTGTTTTAATTTTATGTATCTTTTAATGATTTTTTTCTTGACCTCTTATTTTGATTATAATATTACTACTTGTTTATTTGTTTGATGTTACTTTTGGTGCTTCTGTAAGCATTTCTGTTATGTATCACTAACTTTTCTTCTGTCAGCAGGTAATCCAGGGGAGGGAGGGAAAGAAACAGAAATCCAATCACTGTGACAGGTGTTTTTTTTTTGTTTTTTGTTTTTGTTTTTATTTAACATGAGTGAATTGTAAAAATAACTAAAAAGAAAATAAATTATTTGATTAATATGAAAAAAAAAACATTTCGTAGACTTCACCAATGAAGCCGTCTAAACACAGTTCCTGGTACATAATCTATGGAATCTAGAATTTGTGTAGCCATTAACTATTTGTTTAATTAATATATTGTCTCCCTTAAGAAGGTTTCTAATCAAGATACAAGGATTGAGTAAACCATGAAGTAAATACATTTACCAAAAATAAAGCTGTAATCTCTGAAAAAATACTATAAATTTGTCAATATTTTTATCTCATAGGAAGATAAATTTGTTACATGACAAAATTTTTTTAATTCTTCATAATACTGTTACTCTGATGTGTGATTCATGGTGAGGAAAATATAGGTTTACAGTTGTGAGTACATAAAACAGAGTTTAGTCTTGTATTATTATTTATTAATTGTTGTATTATTTTCCATATGAACAACTGTAAACCTACTTTTGCCCCCACCCTGTATAAAAAACTTACATTGATTTCTATTTTAGTGTATTCAAGCAGACACAGAATGCTAAACATTTTATGAGAGATGATTTTCGACTTTTCTTACACTATATGCCATGTTTTAATACTAGGTCTTTGGAATTAGCATTACTACCATATTTCTCAAACTGAGTTCCTTTTCCCTTAAATATGTCATGTACTTTTCTCTAGAATGTAGACATGTCAAGGTCCTAAATTTCACATGTTGGATATTAATATATTTTCTCATAAATTTATATATAAAGAATCATTAATTAATGCCCTGCAGTTCACACATACCCATAGAGCTCAGTTTTTTATTTATTTATTGGGGTGACATTGGTTAGAACATTTGACTGCAGAGCCCACATTCTTGGGAGATTGTTGAGAACAATGTGGTAAGCTACCGATTCTCAGTCCTCTTTTACAGCTGACTCTGCCCTAAGCTAGTGCTTCTCAAATTTTATGTTCTGATTCAGTAGATTTGAAGTAAGGCCCAATATATTACATTTCTAATTGCTTCTAAGTTATTCTGATGCTGTTGGTCGGTGGCTCACATTGGATTAGCAAAGCCCTAAATGGCTTCCTCAACATTGGTGAGCCTTTTACAGGGCACCAAAATAGACTGTTTCACCTGCACAGACCTAATCTCCCTTGTTCTGTTCCTCTTCTTGGTGTTTTTCTCCTTGTGTTCTATCCTAACATCTGTCTAGCCAAAATGTTTTTAAATGCTGGATGCTTTTGAGCAAGGCACAAAGCAAAATTAGAAGGAAAATATGATTTCTCAGAGGAATTGCTTTTTACTCTATCTTCACTTTCCTTGTATCTGTGCTAATCCCTTTCTACAGGTCTTCTTTGGCAATGTGGATTCATCTGGTATAAAACACAATATTTTTAACCCTCCAATTATTGCTCAGTACATCCGTTTGCACCCAACACACTACAGCATCCGCAGTACTCTTCGTATGGAGTTAATGGGCTGTGATTTAAACAGTAAGTGCCAAGTCATCCCATATCCTTCCATCTCCTAACCATAAGTAGAATAATTAATGGTCCTAGTTTTCCAGAGTCTGGAGGGTTTCTCAGCACGTAGAACTATTAATGCTAAAACCAGCACAGTCCTGCGCAAACCTAGGACTTGGTCATTCTAACCATGAGATTCCCCATTAGCAGCCGCCTCCTAGACCACTATTAACAAGGCAAATAAATCAAAGTCAAAGCTGAGCAGAGCTGACCAGAAAACAGGGGGCATGTTACCAATAACAGAATCAATGCAAAAGTTAATTCCTGGGAAATGACATCCTAATGACAGTAGTCCTAGAGTGTCCATGGAGGCAGGCTAGTGGAATAAAGACCACATGTCCTTGTCACTACATTCTCCTTTCATTTTTTTTGAGGCTGCAGCATTCCACTAGGAATGGAGAATAAAGCAATATCAGATGCACAGATTACTGCCTCATCCTACTTAAACAATATGTTTGCCACCTGGTCTCCTTCACAAGCCCGACTTCACCTCCAGGGGAGGACTAATGCCTGGAGACCCCAGGTAAGAGGCAACAAACTTTCCATTGAACTGATGCAGAGTGGGAAGTAGTGGTTGGGAAAGAATAAGAAAAGCCCTTGACAGTTTCTTCAGAGGTATTTCTGTCACCTGGTTGTTCCCAAAGAGTGTCAGGAAGGTTGTCTATGGCCAGAAAAACCCACCGATATTTAGTGGTGCCATGTAATTTCAAACAGCATTCATTCATTGGGGGAAATGATCCTGAATTGAACCTCCTGGAAACAGAATCTCTATATGCAGTACTAGACTAATATCTGGAAAAGAATTGTAGCTGAAGCCAAGTTTTACAGAGAGAAATATCAATAATTAGCTCTCTTTGCAGGTTTCTCAGTGTCTCAAGGAAGGGTCACAGTCATGTACAGTTCATTGGGCAGTTATTTTCCAGAACCACACAGTATGCAATTTTCCAATCACTGAATAGCTTTTTGAGATGAATAGAGTTAATGGTCTCTGCTCCATCAAGGGCTTATTTTAAATTAAAAGGTTGTATAACACATTTCTAAACTTTTAATACTGTAGTCAGTCTCTGTGTGGTTCATATATTCATTCAGCAAACATTTACTAAGTACCTGTTAAATAGTTGACCCTGGGGATACTGAGATGAATCATGAAAAATTTCAACCCTCCAGTTACTGAGTCTAAAAAGGGAAAATGACAGACAATTACAATGCAGAGTGTAAGTGCTGTAGCCTGGTTAATAACAAGGAATTTGGGGATTTCCGGAAGCAAATAGTGACCAGCAGGATACTAGTCTAACTAACTTCCTCAGGTAAATAATCCAGAAGAGTGGCTGCAAGTGGACTTCCAGAAGACAGTGAAAGTTACAGGAATAACCACCCAGGGGGTGAAATCTCTCCTTATCAGCATGTATGTGAAGGAGTTCCTCATCTCAAGTAGTGAAGATGGCCAAAACTGGACTTCATTTCGTCAGAATGGCAAAGTAAAGGTATGCTGCTCACATAAGAAAGTCACAAACCTATCCTAGAGCTTGACATTTAGAAGTATAACAAGGATGATATATGATCACACTTTCAGGATAAACTTTACTGAGTATCTGTAGGAATAGGTTACCATGTAAAGCATTTTGAGAGGACACAGTGACTCCAAGCAAGGATATATAATCCCAAGGAAAGGGCAGCATAGAACAAAAAGTTTATTATTCTCATGAATTTTGATGTCATACAGGATTGTGGCAAGAATCAGAGGGGTAAAGAAGAATGACAGTTATTTGCCAATTACTTAATGGTGTCTGTATCCCTCATCAGCTACATAGATTTCCAAGCCTCAATGACCTTTAACTTGAGTGACCAAGACAGTCTTCCTTCTTCCTTTGCTAGATATGTCAACAAATTATGGTAATTAGAGAACATGACATAAACTCTTGCTATCATGAGTTGTGAGGGAATGAATAATTCATCTCTATGGTTTCTTTAATCTTCTTTGTCACCAGAAATGATGTGGCCCTTACTAATCTCTCTAGTACAGTCGCTTGCCACTTGCTCCTTTGCTCTCTAAGCCCTACCCATACTAATAAACTCTCAGGTCCCTAAAAACTGCATGTTCCTTCTGACAACAGGATTTTATATACACCATTTCTTCTACCTAGAACATTTTTTTTCTAGGTACTTCCCACTGCCCCTGTCACCTAGCTCATTCTTCAAAATTTCAGATAAACATCATCTCCAAGAATAATTCCCTGGTCCCTCAAGGTTGGATTAAAGACTTATGCTTCTGGCAGTTTAGCAGACTAGAGTATAGATAATATATATTCTGGAGGACATTCTCATTTTTAAAAGAGTGTATCTCTGATACATGGCTACAATATAGATGAACCTTGAAAACATCATGATAAATTAAATAGGTCAGACATAAAAGGACAAATATTGTATGATTCCACTATACAGACAAACAGAACCAGTAGGATGTGTATGTGTGTGAATGGGTGCGTGTGTGTATATGTATAAAGAGATTTATTATAAGGAATTGTCTCACGTGATTATGGAGGTTGACAAGTCCCAGGATCTACAGGGTGAATCAGCAAGCTGAAGACCCAGAAGAGCCAATGGTGTAGTTACAGTTCAAGTCTGAAAGCTGGAGAACCAGAGACCTAATGGTATAAGTTCAAGGATGAAAGCCAAAAGGCTTAAGACTCAGGAAGAGCTGATATTTCTATGTAAGCCTAAAGGCTGGGAAAAGCTAATGTTCCAGTTCAAAGTCAATCAGGTAGAAAGAATTCTCTCTTCCTCAGAGAAAGGTCAGCCTTTTTATTCTATTCAATTGATTGGATGATGCTCACCCACATTAGGAAGGGCAGTCTGCTTTACTGGCTCTACCATTTAAACATTAATCTTACCCAAAGACATACTCACAGACACACCCAAAGTAATGTTTGACCAAATATCTGAGCACCCATGGCCTAGTCAAGTTGACACATAAAATTAACAATTACAGTGAGGTACCTAGAACAGACAAATTCATAGAGACTGAAAGTAGAATAGTATTACTAAAGATTGAGAGAGGGGAGAATGGAGAGTTATTGTTTAATGGAAACAGAATTTCAGTTTTACAAGATAAAGAGTTCTGGAGATGGATGGCGGTGATGCTTGTGCAGCCCAGCCAGTGTGGCTCAGTGGATTGAGTGTTGTCCCATGGACTGAAAGGTCTCGGTTCGATTCCCAGTTGGGGCACATGTCTGAGGTGCAGGCTCAATCCCTGGTAGAGGAGGTGCAAGAAGCAGCCAATCGATATATCTCTTTCTCATGGATGTTTCTATCTCTCTCCCCCTTCCTCTCTCTCTAAAAAAAAGAATAAAATAAGAACATATTTTTTAAATGGTTAAAATAAGTTATATGTTATATACATATTACCACAATTTATAAAGCTATATCACAGATAGTACATCCTTAAGACATTGCTACATTCAGTGAAGAAAGGAATTTCCAGCCTCCTCACCAACAACAGCAAAAAAGAGCTTTTATTTTAAAGTAATGATCTTAAGGAGAAACATCTGTAACAAAAATCAATTAATTAATTAATTTAATTAAAAAAGAAAAAGAAAATAATGATCTTAAATCAGAGCAAAGAGAGGTGAAAACGAGACAATGTAAAACAAAAACTTTCCTAAGGAAAAATGCTTGTATTAGTGTTGTTATTGGGAGACAAAGCTTTAAGCAAAATGCAAAGAAAACTGAAGGTAAGACTTCTGTGTTAAGTAAGTAATGAACCCCAGAAGGAGCTAAAGTACTTGCAAATAAGTTGTACCCCCTGACATCTGGAAGAAGCATTTTTAAGTTCACTCTAGAAGAAAGCACTCCTAGTTTAGGTCTCCAGGATACCCACATATTAAAATGATAAGATCAGCCCTGGCTGGTTTTGCTCAGTGGTTAGAACATTGGCTTATGGACCAAAGAGTCACAGGTTTGAGTTCCAGTCAAGGGCACATACCTCAGTAGCAGGTTCGATCCCAGTCTCGGTCAGGGTTGTGCAGGGGGCAACCAATCGATCTCTCTCTCTCTCTCCCTTCCTCCCTCCCTCTCTCCCTCTCTCCCTCTCTCCCTCTCTCTCTCTCCCTCCCTCTCTCTCTCTCCTTCCCTCTCTCCCTCCCTTCCTCTTCCTCTCTCTCTCTCTTCTTCCCTCCTACTCTATCTGAAAAAAAAAATTAATGGAAAAAGTATCTTCAGGTGAGGATTAAAAAAAGGTAAGATCATAAACAGATCAGCAATAATGAAACACAGCAAAACAACTTGACAAGTGAGGAGATTTAATCTATACAGATTTAAAATGTGAACATCAAATTCACATTATCAGATATATTTCATAAAATAATTATGCATAAACTATTTGAAGCAACAAACTATAAAAACATAAAAATAAATGACAAACTATCCAAAATTATTAGGCAGTTTGGGGAAAAACAGTACTTTTAGAAATAAAAAAAAAACATAACTGTTGAAGTTTAAAAATCAAAAAGGCAATAGCAGATTAGACACAGCCAAAGAGAATTTAATCAATTGAAAGATATATCAGAATAAATTACCCAGAGTAGCACAGAAGTTGAAGCATATGAAAAAAAATTAAGATAAATATGGTATACAGAGAAAGCCTAACATATATATAATTGGAATCCCAGCCTGGCCTGTGTGGCTCAGTGGATTGAACATCATCCTACAGACTGAGAGTTCCCAGTTTGACTCTCAGTCAGGGCACATGCAGGGTACATGCGGGCTTGATCCCCAGTAGGGTGCATGCAGAAGGCAGCCGATCAATGTTTCTTTCTCACATTGATGTTTCTATATCTCTCCTTTCCTCTCTTACTAAAAATATCACTAAAGACATATTTTTAAATAAATAAATAATAAATAATTGGAATCCCAGAATGAAAGAAAAGAAAAAGTGGAGAAATTGCAAACAAACAAGAATGATCACTTTTGCCACTTACATTCAACATTGTACTGGAAGTTACAGCCAGAGAAATTAGGTGAGAAAAAGAAATAAAAGGTATCCAAATTGGGAGTAATGAAGTAAAACTATCTCTCTTTGCCAATAATATGATTTTATATGTAGAAAATCCTAAGGAATACACAAAAAAATTATTAGAGCTAATAAGCAAATTCAACAATGTTTCAGGATACATGATCAACACACAGAAATTGATTGTATTTCTATATACTAACAATGAAAAATCCAAAAAAGAAATTAAGAAAATAATTTTATTTACAATAGCATAAAAAGAATAAAAGATTTAGGAATAAACTTAGCCGAGGAGGTACAAATCTTGTACACTGAAAACTTCAGAACATTGCTGAAAACATTAAATATGACCTAAATAAATAGAAAGATATCCTAGGTTCATGGATTGGAAGACTTAATCATGTTAAGGTGGTAGTACTATCCAAAGCTATCTACAGATTCAGTGCAATCCCAACCAAAATCCCAATGGACATTTTTGCAGAAATGGACAAGCTGATCTTAGAATTTGTGTGGAATTTCAAGTAACCCAGACTAGCCAGAACAATCTTGGAAAAAAAAAAAAACAAAAAAACAAAGTTGGAGGACTCATATTCTCAATTTTAAAACTTACCACAAAGCTATAGTCATCAAAACAGTGTGGTATTGACATAAAGACAGATCAGTGGAGTATAACTGAAGTCCAGAAATAAGCCTATACATCTATGGCAAATGGATTTTCAATAAGTATGCCAAGACAATTCACTGTGAAAAGAATAATCTCTTCAACAAATAATGCTAGGAAAACTAGATATCCACATGCAAAAGAATTGTTACTACACACCATATGCAAAAAATAATGAATGGGTCAAATACATAAATATAGGAGATACAACTATAAAACTTAGCAGAAAATATAGGGGTAAATATTGATGACCTTGAATTTAACAATGGTTTCTTAAATGTGACACTATAATCACAAACAACAGAAGAAAAATAGATATAGTAGACTTCTTCAAAAAAACTTGTGTACATCAGAGGATACTATCAACCAATTGAAAACACAACCCAATGTATAGGAGAAAATATTTCCAGTCATATGTTTGATAAAGGGTCTAGTATCCAGGATATAAAACAACTCAAATTCAACTACAAAATGACAACAAAATTTAAAAATAGAAAAAAAAAAAACTTTAATAAGCATTTCTATAAGGAAGATATACAAATGACCAACAAACACATGAGCATTAACATCACTAGTCATTAAGAAAATGCAAATTAAAACCAAAATAAGATATCACTTCACACCCACTAGTATGACTAAAATTTTTTAAAAATAAAAAGTGTTAGCAAAGATGTAGAAAAATTAAAACCCCCATTCCTAATGGGAATGTAAGATGGGGAAGCCACTGTAGAAAACATTTTGGTAGTCCCTCAATAAGGTAAACATGGAATTACCATATGATCCAGCAATTCCACTGTTGGGTAGCTACCCAAAAT